GGGTGGAAGTCTTTTGGGACTTGCCCGCCTGGTCCTCCAATATTGCAAAATTATCTCGTGTCTGTTTCTCTCATTTGCTGTGCGGCTCCACTTTCAGGTACCGAACCCTACTCCACGCGGGACGTGGAAGGAATCACCCAACATCTGGCGCCCGACGGGTAATCTGGAAGTGCAGGCCTCGCTGGAGCGAGAAAAGGAAGTTTTCACCGAAAAGGTGTGGAAAACTCACCGAAAAAAGGTGAGGGGGATTCTACCGCACGCAATGCCCAGGATCAACTACAGAAGCCCGGGTCTGTAAGTAAACTGGGAACGTTTTCTTAACCAGGCTAACAAACGGGGCAGGATTTGGCTTTAAGAAAGTAGATTTGGCTTTAAAAAGGTATATTTGGCTTTTAAAAATTAAGAAACTGTATTATGTGCTTTTGATTTGCATGTTTAAAGTGTTAAAATTTTAGAAGGTAATCTTTTACAGTTTTTGCATGTTATTTTAGAACATAACCTTTGCTTTTCTTGAAGAAGGTACATTAGATCTTAAAAGATTGCCAAAAAAGTTAGTTAGAACTTGAAAAAAGGTTAGCAGCAAGAAAAAGCTCATCTCAAAAAACTTTTTCCATGGGGAACATAATATCGCATTTGCTAAAGCCTTTTACAGAGGCTGAGGAGGAGTCTCCTCAACTGGTTCCCTCTGCTCCTCCTAGTGAGGAGTGGGAAGACACGTTAGAGGAATGGCCTTCACGGTCCTCTCCACCTCCGCATGCACGTCCTAATTCTGATATGCTTAATTCGCTGTCATTTGAATCACCTGTGCAAAAAGCCATCAGAGAAGGATTGAGGGAAATACCGGCGGAAGAAAGGCTTGCTTTCCCTATCATAGAGGTACCTGATCCACAGCTACCGAATCAGGTGGTCAGACAGCATGTAAAAATTGACTTTAAAATGATAAAGGCCTTACGTGAAAGTGTAGTCCAAAATGGTCCAACAGCTCCTTTTACAGGAGAAATTATGCATAGTATTTCTGAAGCTTTCCTAATCCCTCATGATTGGTATTCTCTAGCACGTGCAACTCTGGATGGAGGAGATTATTTACTATGGAAGGGAGAATTCTTGGAGAGATGCCAGGAGCAAGCCCAAATAAACCGCGGGCTGAATGCTCAAATAACTTATGAAATGCTAGCAGGACTGGGACAATACAATGATGTGCGAACCCAGTTAGATTATGTGCAACTGGCATATGAGCAAATTAGAGCTTGTGGAAGGAAAGCGTGGTGGACTTTACCAGCAAAAGGGGACTCTGAGGGAGCTTTTAGTAAATGTTTACAGGGGCCTTTAGAATCATTTTCTGATTTTGTGGCTCGTCTCACTCGAGCAGTAAGACGACAGATTCAACATGAGGCAGCAGGAGACATTTTAATTCAACAATTAGCCTATGAAAATGCCAATGCTGATTGTAAGAAATGCCTGATGCCTCTGAGAAAAGGTAGCACCATTACAGAAATGATTCGAGCATGTCAGAATGTGGGGTCAGGCACTTTTCAAGTGAATTTACTCACTGCCGCTGCTACTGTAAATAAAAGGTGTCATAACTGTGGAAACATAGGACATTTTAGAAAAGAATGTAGACAACCAAGAAGGACACAAGGAGGCGCTCCAGGGAAAGGCGCTAACATCTCGCCTCGTGAGCCGATCAAAACGGATCCAACCTCTGTGTGTCCTAGATGCCAGAAGGGCTACCATTGGGCCAGCCAATGTAAATCGAGATTCCACAAAAATGGGCAGCCGTTAAATCAAGACACAGGGTATGGCCAACCGCAGGGAAACGGCCAAATGGGGCAACCCCCAGCCCCGTCAATAAAAGGGGAGATCTGCCCTGCAAAGCCCACAGTGGAATCTCTGATTTGGGCCACTCCAGGAAGTGCAAGCCTAGATCTTAACAGTACTATACCGGTCACTTTGACCCCTGATATGGCTCGGCAAGCTGTTCCTACAGGAATCTGGGGGCCTGTGCCATCAGGAACTTTAGGATTAATTTTAGGGAGAAGTGGAAACACTCTGAAAGGATTAACTGTTTTGCCTGGAGTCATAGATTCAAATTATGAGGGGGAGATTAAAGTTATATTGGAATGCAATCATATTTTGCAAATTACTCCAGGACAAACAATTGCTCAAATACTACTTCTACCTTATGCTCAACAAGGCAAGGCTATAAATAGGAAAAGAGGAATGCAAGGACTTGAAAGCTCAGACATCTATTGGATACAGGAAATTAGCAAAACTCGTCCTATGATTAATTTGAGAATAGAAGGAAAAATGTTTAAAGGTCTAGTAGACACTGGGGCAGATGTCAGCGTTATCAGCAAAGAATTCTGGCCTCCTAGTTGGTCCATGGTAGAAGCTGTGGACTCAATTAGAGGGGTGGGAGTTCCTGATAACACGCAACGTAGTGCTGCAGTCTTAAAATGGCAAGATGAGGAAGGACAAACAGGATGGTTTCAGCCCTACATTGTCTCTGGAATTACAGTCAATTTGTGGGGCCGGGATGTCTTAGAAGGTTTACAAGCTTGTATTATTACTGGCAAAGGTCAGCAGCTTGTAACTCAGATGGGACATCAGAGTGATCAAGGTGTAAAAAACCCAGGAAGGCGAGGATATCAACCTTTTTAGGAGTGGTCACTGCTCAGTCTCCTCGCCCCCATGCTGATCCTATACAATGGAAAGATGATAAACCTGTATGGGTGGATCAGTGGCCATTAACCAAGGAGAAATTAGGTCATATTCATGGATTGATACAGGAACAAATAGAAGCTGGTCATATAGAGCCTTCCAACAGCCCTTGGAATACGCCTATATTTATTATACCTAAGAAGGTGGCAGGGAAATGGCGATTGATACAGGATCTCAGAGCAATTAATGCTACTATGCATACCATGGGAGCTTTGCAACCTGGACTCCCAGCGCCTTCACAAATCCCTTTAAATTGGTCTCTCATAGTAGTAGATCTTAAGGATTGTTTTTTCACCATTCCCTTGGCACCTCAAGATAAAGAAAGATTTGCCTTTTCAGTGCCATCTATTAATAATATAGAACCCATGAGAAGATATCAGTGGAAA